AGCCTCTCGGGGTCTCCGGGATGTCTGGGGATGACTTTCTGCAGCCTCTGGAATCCGTAGTCGATGGTGGGCTCGTTCAGGGCTGGAGAGAGGGGCGGCGTCTGGAGCACGTTCCCCTCCCAGGGCGGGACGCAGGGCGGAGACGGCAGGCAAACTACCCGTCCGGGAGCCTTGCTGCAGACCCCTCCACCGAGCCCTGCCCAAGTCACCGGAGAACTACGGGCACACCGGTCCTCGAGGTTCGGGGAAGTTTCCTCCGTTCGTTTATTCATTCAACAAATACGAGTGAGCCAGACTGTGCCAGACGCTTGGCATTAACACACATGCACTATGCGGTTCCATTTGTGAGTGCCAAAGAAGGAAAATTGTAGGCACATATTCGCTTCTATCTTCCTAGGGGCAGGACTCGAGGGAGACTTTGCTGTCTGCATTTGGTCATGTCAGGAGTTTTATTTATTATTAAAAAGAAAGAAAGAAAGATCCCAACAACACCACTTATCAGGCTCAAGTAGACTCTCAGCAGCATCTGAGGGCTGCAGGCTCGCACCCAGGGGAGGGACCGGCCCACACCCGGGGCTCTCCAGAGGACGCAGCATCCTCAGACTCGGCTCCCCAGCCGCCTCTCCTCTCCCTGCCGTCCTCTTCCTTTCCCTCTCGCTTCCTCTCCCTTAGGGAAGCCTGGCCCCGGCCTGACCCACCAGGCTCAAAGCCCAGCCTTCTCCCTCTCTAACTCCTAATCTCGTGCATTTCGCTTAGCTCCCGCCACCGACCCCCAAGCGTAAAGCACGCCCTCGCCCTTCCTTCCCCAGCTCCGTCTTCCCGTGTTGCCTGGGTTGCAGCTTAGCCCCGTTCAGCTGGCGCTCCCTCCCGGAGGTTTGCGTCCACTGTCAACCCCCCGGCCGTGAGACGCCTCCCACCCCACTCGGCCTTCCTGCGTTAGACGGGAGCCCCCTGGTCACTAGGGTCACCGCCCGCGAAGGGCTTGATGAATATCCTTAGACTGGAGCCCCTTGAGGGTAAGTAGGGTCACTACCCGGGAAGAGGGGTCGACGAATGCCGGAGGGAGGTGGGGAGAGGGGGGTGACTTGGGCTAGGGCGGGGCCCCAGGATGGAGGTGGAGGCGGGCCGATCGGTGGCTGGGTAGAACCGGGCATGTCCACGTGTGTTGTGTTAGCCGCTCACCCTGGCGGCGCGCAAGGGGCAGGTGTGTGTGTGTGTGTGTGCGCGCGCGCGCGAGTGCACGCGTGTGTACATACAGAGAGAGGCCAGGGTGGCTTGGGGGAAATCAAGAGACCCAGGAACGATTCGGGGAGCGCGAGCCTACTTGGGGCATCTTGGAAATAAACGTTCTTTTGCAGAGGTTCTAAACGCTGGAGGGTCGGGGTCGGGAGACACCCTGGTGAGAAGGCCCGAGGCAGAGAGAAAATTAGGGAAGGGGGCACTCCGCGTCCGGGAAGGGACTGCGGAGCCAGGCCAGGGAGGGAAGGTCCCGCGTGCGAGCCGTCGCGGGTATAGGTGGGTAGAGGCCTCGGAGAGCCGTCCACACGCCGTCGATGTTGGCCAGCTCCCAGGACGTGGTCGCTGCGTGGGGCGGGGCTCCCTCCGAGGACCAGAGACCTCCCCTCCCCCGCCTGACTCCTTACCGGTGTAGACAAAGCGGCCGGGGGCTCCCTTGCAAAATTGCTTGGACTTGTAGGAGAGGGTCACCTCCACCACCCCGGGGATGTGCCGCGGGGGCGTCTGCACCCGGATGGCGTGGGGCGTGATGAGCTGGAGGGGAGAGGGGAGGCCTGCAGGTCCCGTCCCGGCGAGGGGAGGGCCCAGCCCGGGCCCAGCCCCGGGCCCAGCCCCAGGCCGGAGGGAGACTGGCGGGGGAGGCCCACCTCGCTCCACACGAGCACGTTTCCGAACACGACCTGCAACCCGTCGAAGAAGTTGTCGCCGATGACAATGACGGTGGCGCCGCCCGTGGTCCAGCCCTCCCCGGGGCTGATGGCCTTGATGCAGGGGGTGGCAGCTGGGAGGCAGGAGAGGACCCAGGTGAGGGGACTGCGCCAAGGTGGGGGCTGGGGGCTGGCTGGGCCCGCGGCGGCTGGCTGGGCCGGGGTCCTGACCTTCGGAGGGGTCCAGGCGGCGCGCCCTGCGGCCATGCTTGGAGTTGTTGTGCACAAACATGTTGTCGGACACGGCCAGCACGTGTCCGTCCACGCTCACCGTCGTGGACACCACCACCTGCGGGAGAGGCCAGCCTGGCTGGGGGCCCTTGGGGGCTCCCGAGAGGGGAATGTGGTGGGGAGCCAGCAGCTTGAGGCCAGTGGCTTGATGCTGGAATTTAGGGGCACTGGTGGGCATGGGAGGGCTTCTGTTCCCCAGGGGCTGAGCTGGTGGAGGGGGGCCAGTTGGATCAGGCGAACTGACCCCCCCCCCCAGGAGCTAGAAAAATCAAGAGCCCTGAAAAAACTCTGACTCCTTAGGCAAAGAGTGGCTACTGCTTTTGCATAGGCAGGAATGCCAACCTGTGTCTGTGGGGCTCCAAGGCAGGAATGGCGTCTTAGGCAAGTGGTTGTGGGGGGCTAGTATCAGCCAGAGAGCCCACCAGCAGGAGCCCCTGCCTTATGTTGGGGAGGCACTGGGGCTGCTGTCTCCCTGCCCCCAGCATTGGGAGGGCTTGCAGGTTGGAGATGTGCTAAGGGCAGCTGCTCTCAGCTTCACGCTATGCAAATTGCCTGGGTCGTTAATCATGTAAAAATGTCACAATTAGCATCTTCTTAAGTGGGACTCTAATGAAGCCTCCCTCGGCAGCCAGCATAAGTTGAGACAGAGCTGCCCCACCCCCAGCAGGCACCAGGTCCCAGAGGCACAGGTTGGGCAGAGATCTGCCTTGGGGGCCTTTCCCGGGGTTGCAGGGTCACAGCCCCCCCCCACTGCCCTCCACTACCGGGAAGGGGTGGGCTTGCAGGGGGGAACCTTTTCTCCAGACCCACCTGAAAGCGCCGCATGTCTCGGGGATTCCCCGCATTCTTCAGGCAGTTCTGGTTACATTTGAGGAAGAACTTGAGGAAGAATCTGAAACAGGGTGGTCAGTGGACTCAAGGGTCTGGGGGTTCTGGAAACAGATGAAGATTCAACCGCTCCCTGCCACACGCCTCCCAGTAGGATGACTCCCCACTACCTGCTCTCACACAGACACACACCCCATATTCCCATTATGAGCCACATATTCACAGGGTGCCTGGTAGACCCCAAACAAACCCATCATGACTGCTTCACTACACAACCCCTCCCAGTGCTAATTTACCCCACAAAGTGCATATTGATCACACCCACCCTCATACTCATCATAAAGAGTATGTCCACTATATACATGCTATATACCTCTCAGTCATAAATCATAGGCTGGGGGCGATAGCTCAAGCCTGTAATCCCAGCACTTTGGGAGGCTGAGGTGAGAGGATTGCCTAAGCCCAGGGGTCTGAGATCAACCTAGGCAACATGGTGAGACCTCATCTCTACAATAAATAAATAAAAAATCAGCTGGGCATGGTAGCGCATGCCTGTAGTTCTAGCTACTTGAAAGGCTGAGGCAGAAGGATCGCCTGAGCCCAGCAGGTCGACGTTGTGGTGTCTGTGAGCATACCACTACACTCCAGCCTGGGTGACAGAGTGAGACTCCAACTCAAAAAAAAAAAAAAAAAGAAAGAAAGAAAAAGATACCCAACACACATTGCCTACCCATTGCACACACAACGTATACTCCATATGCAGCAGGTACCCACATTTACCCAGTGTATCACACACTGTGCATATCTGTCATAGTATATGCCCATCACACATAAAGTGCACCTCTCACACACAATATCCCTCCTCCATAGTCTACCCACCGCTCACACAATGTACACTCATCATAAGCAGTGTATCCATGATAGACACTATATGCTTTACATACCGCTACTCACAAAGTACAGCCACCACACACACTCAGGGTAGAACCTTCACACAAGCATAAACAACATGTACTCCACACACAGCCTACACTCATCACACACATGGCATGCTAACCAGACACAGTACCCATCACACACAGTGCATGCTCATCCTACACAGTATACACAGAAAGAATTCAGAACACATAGAGCATGTACCTTAGTACACCATTTATGTTGTATATGGTTACCCAAAATATATCACTGCATATACTCTAAAGTCATCCCATACAGCAAGTCCCCCCACACATGGCAGATCCCCCTCCCACCCATTCTGTATCCATTATACACATAGAGAAAACTTAATGACACATGCTCACCATATACACATGGCGTGTCTGCAGACATGTGGTACAGTTACAAGTGAATGTCTTCTTTTTCACATACAGTAATTGAAAGCTAGTACAGTATGTGCATTTGCTTTTGCACAGGCTTCTTTTTGGACAAACATTCCTTCCAGGCAGTTGGCTGGGAGAGTGGGGCCTTGGTCCTACTGCCCACTGGTAAGGTAACCTTGGATGATATTCTGACCATTGTACTCTTAGTAAACTCAGAATACCATCAATATCTGCCTTAGCCCCACAGGCCTTGTGCCTCCTGGGGCTGGTGCTTCCTGGTGGGGCACTCTAAGCAGCTGGGGAGATGCCCTTTACAAGCTATGCAGTGCAGGGCTAACGTCTGCAGAGGGTCCTGCCTGTGGTAAGGCCTCCTGGTTACTGTGTGAGTTCCTCCAGTCAGCTTTCTCATCTTGCCACCACCCATTTGGAAGGTACTTTTGAACAGTATGAAGGGTCAAAACCTTAACTACTATAGAGTCACCTGTGTACCCTGTAAGGGGGTATATTTATATACCCCAGATTTGAACATCCATTTAATTCACCAGAGTTGCCATTCAAGTCTACAAATGTAAAATTCATGTTTAGAGGAAGATTTGTTATAGGCTCCAAAAGTCTAGTCCCACAAAAGGAGGTCCTCTGAAATAGAGGTGTCACCAGATGTCAGCTCCTAATTGGGAGCTGGTAGTAGTTACTTTCCCTGAGATGCACCTCTCTGGGGCGCTACCTCTGTCCTCATTGCTGACCCCTCAGCACCTGTCATATTCCCCACCATGGTCACCCCCTTCTTTTCCCTTTCCACAGAGACACATCATATCAGCACACATTTTCATCCACCAGAAAGTCCATTCACACAGTGTAGAACTTCTATGTACTCCACAGACCACTCAGGTGCAGATACTTCATAGGATCCCAAACAGTGCACGCCCACAGTGTAGACTCCCCAACCACCCCACAGCATACCCTGCAGTGTAGACAGCATGGATGCTCCCAAACAGTACTCACCAAAGTGACTACTCCTGTAGGTTGCCCCAAGGGGCAGACACACCTCCAATGCACCCAAATAGTATACCCACAAGGTGTAGACACTCCATGTACCTCACAATCCCTTCCTACACTCCTATGACACTCCATGGGCTGAACAACCTATACCCACAGTCTATACCCACAGTCACCACATGTCTCACATTCATATGTGACATAGAGTATAGACACGCTAATCACACACACAATGCAGATTCATTCACCTAAGTACTCATGTGCTCAGTCCTTTACCAGGTGCTAGAAGAAGGGAAAAGCACCAGGATGGGATATAGTCTGTTCTGAAGGGTATTAATGCTAACCCTTGGAGACCACTGATGGTGCAACAAGCATGGGAGCATGCCAAGAGATGACACCCATGCCTACTGACCTCAACCCTGCTCCCAAACCTACAGAAGCAAGAGGGAGGGTCCCTGGGATGGGGCTGAGATGTAGGCTCCGGTCAGGCACTGATTCTCTGTGTGACCTGGAGTGGGTAACTCCTTCCACACCCATAAAACGAGAGAGGAGCAGTCGTCTGTTGCTGAGGCGCCATCTATTCCTGCCTCTAGAACATCTTTACTTGCAGTTCCCCAAGGCTGCTGTTTCCTGCAGGGTCCTGATCCCTCACTGGTCCCTCCCCAAGCCCTTGCTCAGTGGTCTTCCCACACCGTTCCTTTCCAGTACAGGTTCCATTTGTTCTTTGGGTCCACACCAATTCTCACCCCCTGTCTGGCCAGCCTTTTCTGGTCACTCTAGGATTCAAGGACCTCCCTTCCCTGAGAGCCCTAGGGCCCTCCTCTCCATGTGGACCTGCCCCAGGACACCTCCGTTTTTGAGCCTGGATAGCATTACCTGCAGAGTGTTGGTAAGTGAAAAGCAGCCAGCACAAGGCATGGGCATGCCGTGGGGTGCTGAGGGTCAGTTCACTTTTCCCTTCCCTCTGAGTCTCTCCTCAGACCCAGCACACAGCTGATGCCATTAATGGTGCTGCTGAAACCTCACCCACATTCGGCAGGTAGTCCACAAGGCTGCCCCCAGTCAGAGGCCAAGCCGGGATCAAAATTCTCCATAGAGCCTATGGGGTGTGAAGAGAACGATTCACAACTTGGAAATAAGGCAAAATACCACTAGAGTCCCTTCCAAGTCATTCTGGAACAGCGGTTTTCAAAGTATGGCGCCCAGACCAGCAGTATAGTGTCACCTGGGAGCTTGCTAGAAATGCAGAAACTCAAGCCTCACCTCACACCTGCTGAATCAGAATCTCTTGGGGGTGGGGCCCAGACATCTTCGTGTTCATAAGCCCTCCAGGTGATTCTGACACACCCTAAGGTTTGAGAACCACTGCTCCAGAGCTGCACTATCCAGTACTGTAGTCACTAGCCCCATGTGGCATTGAACCCTTGCAATGTGACTAATTCAAACTTGAGATGTGCTGTTAAGTGTAAAATACACATCTGGTTTCAAAGACTTAGAAAAAAAGAATATAATATAACTCATTAGTAATCTTTTGTGTTGATTATGTGTTGAAATGATAGCACCTTAGATATAGAGTTAAATAAAATATATCATCAACTTAATGTAACCAGTTTCTTGTTTTTTAAAATGTGGCTACTTAAAAATGTAACATATGTGGCTTGCATTATATTTATATTGGACAACGCTGCTCTGGAGTGTTATGTTAAGGAAGTCACCTAAAAGTCACCTGATTCCCAAGGGGAAAGCAGCTTAGACTCATATTTACTATTGATTGGGGCACAGATTTTGTGAAGTTAGGTACTAATTTGCAGAAAACTGATAAGATGCCAATGATATTTGCTAAATGTGGGAACTAAAATCTTTGATCACGTGGAGGTAGAGAGTGGAGAGACAGGTAACAAGACTTGGAAGGGTGAGTAGGGGAGATGGGGATGGCTGAAGAGCGGGGGGTTCAAGGGCCCAAACATACAGAAACATAGAAGGAATCATGTCAATGTCTGATAGCAGAGTAGGGTGACTACACTTAACAAAAATGTATTTAACTCGGGTGATAGACACCCTAAAGGCCCTGACTTGATCACTATATGTTATATACATGTAGCAAAATTTCACATGTACTCAATTGCTGTGTACAAAAAATGGATAAATTTGTATGACTTTGAAAAATGAAGCCAGGCTCGGTGGCTCAGCCTGTAATCCCGCGCCTTTGGGAGGCTGAGGTGAGTGGATTGCCTGAGCCCGTGGGTT